CCTCCTTCTTCTTCTTCTTCTTTTCTCTCTCTCTCTCTCTCTCTCTCTCTCTCTCTCTCTCTCTCTCTCTCTCTCTCTCTCTTTGGTTTTTCGAGAAAGGGTTTCTTGTATAGCTTTGGATCCTGTCCTGGAACTCACCCTGTAGCCCAGGCTGGCCTCAAACTCACAGAGATCCACCTGTCTCTGCCTCCCGAGTGCTGGGATTAAAGGTGTGCGCCACCACTGCCCAGCTATTAGTCTCATTTTTAACTAAGTAGACCTGACTTGGAGCCTGTGTTTAAAAAGAGGATAGTGTGCCTAGACTTAAAATTCAGCCAAGTAAAGGAACAGTGTATTTATTAAGTAAGGTTAGCTTTGGTTTTTCTTTTTCAGATAAAGCATGTAACTGTAGCTCAGATTAAGAAAAATCTAAAAACAGTTATAGAGGTATAGTTTAGTGATAGGCCATTTACCTAAGGTTCAATCCCTAGCATCTTTTTTAAAAAAAACAAACAGCTATAGATGGGTGGAAGATTCAGCCTGGGTGTGATTATTCCACAGACATCAGGTGTCAGGCTGTTTGTTTGCTGCATCTGTTCCTGTTGCTGTATTGTATTTTGAAGGTACTTTTTGATTCTCCTTGGCTTCTGGAGTTCCGTAAGGTATCCCATCCACTAGAATCAGCTCTCTTGAAAGGGCTTTTCTAGATAGAACCACCCTACCCAGAATTTTCTGCTTCCATCTCATTGACCATTTCTATAATTAATTGTAACTGTGCAGGTTGCTTTTGCAGTGGTCAGAAGTTTCAGTGGTCAGTCAGTAAATTTAAGACCAAAAAGTTCAACACCTCACCCAGTACCCAGGCACAGTGTGGTGCACACTTGTCTTTTCAATGCTAGGGAGGCAAAGACAGGAACAACACCTGAGGTTGACTCTAGCATACACACAAATGTATACACACATGCATACACATCGGCATTGCACACACATAAATACACACACAACAAAAAAGTTCTTTTAGTAAATAGGGAGAAAGAAACAATGATTGTTGCCAGACAACTAACAGACCTGCTACAACTAGCTCTGAGGAATATAATATTAATGTTAGGGAAATAAAATTTTAGAGACATTAAAAAAAACTATTAAATTGAGTATAAATTTAAAATATCCCCAAACTCTGGCAGTGGTGGCACACGCCTTTAATCCCAGCACTCAGGAGGCATAGGCAGGCAGATCTTTGTGAGTTCAAGGCTAGCCTGGTCTACAGGGCGAGATCCAGGAAAGGCTCCACAGCTACATAGAGAGACCCTGCCTTGAATAAAACCAAACAAAAAAAAAAAAAAAAAAAAAGAAAGAAAGAAAGAAAAAAGAAAGAAAGAAAGGAAGGAAGGAAGAAAGGAAAGAAAGAAACAAACAAACACGGGACTGGAGAGATGGCTCAGCGGTTAAGAGCACTGGCTGCTCTTTCAGAGGACCAAGTTCACTTCCCAGCATCCATATGGCATTCACAACTGACTGTAACTTCAGTTCCAGGGGATCTGGCACTCTCTTTTCACACAGATATACACATAGGCAAAACATCAATGCCCCTAAATAAATAAATATTTAGGGGATGAGTGGTGACCTGGGGAGGAAGGCTTGGGGGGTGAGCAGGAGGAGGGATGGGGGTGGGTCTGTGGTATGTGGAATGAATAAAAACTTTCTTAATAAAATAAAATATTCCCAAACTCTATTGTGTTTGATAGATAAAAGCAATTAACCTCTTTGGTAGAATGTTCTACATTGATTTTCTCAGCAAGACTCCTTGGAAACAACTGTTACACTTTGTATGTTTTTAAAATCTTGAAAAATGACTTCAAAACAACAGAAGGGGAAAAAAGACAATTCAGTTTAAATCCTTTTTCTGTTTGGAGACAGAATAAAAGTAACTCCAGAACTAGTAGGAGCAAGAGTACCCCAGTAGATGATACAGACTAGGTATGAACATATTAAAATACTCAAGTTGTTTGGGGTCTAAGAGGAACAAGATAGATTAATGCGGTATGTGAGAATGCATTGCGGCAATGAATCACAGTAACTCCGGATACATAAGGCCTTCCCTGGAGGAAAGGATGGTTAGATTTATATTGCTTCTGCCTATATTTCATCCATATTAATTAAAAACAATGATGGTTAGACAGCTCAGCCGTGAAGAGCTCTTCCTGCTTTTCCAGAAGACCTGTTACTCCAGCTCCATTGGATCATATGCCCTCTTCTAGCCTCCATGGGCACCTTACATGCATGGTAAACATAAATAAAAAATTTTAACTTTAGATTGAGCCATCTCTCTAGCCCCCAAAATAATTCTTTTTAAAAATAGCTGGACAGTGGTGGTGCACACATTTAATCCCAGCGCTCAGGAGGCAGAGCCAGGCGGATCTCTGTGAGTTCAAGGCCAGCATAGTCTACAGAGCAAAATTCAGGACAGGCACCAAAACTACACAGAGAAATCCTGTCTCAAAAAACAAAAACAACTACAACAAAAAGATGGAGCTAGATGTGTTGGTGCACACCTTTAATCTCTGACTTGGGAGGCAGTGACAAGCGTTTCGCTCTGAGTTAGAGGCCAGCCTAAATGTAGAATAATATATACATGTGTGGGGTGGAAATGTTGCTGCTAGATGAGATAATTTTTTAATGTTTTGCAGCTTTCTAAGTACCCACTGTTCTCATGTGTAATTTTATAAACATTTACTGAATACCTTGTTTTTATAATTCACTTTAAAGAGGAATTCATTCACAAGTTGCTATTTAGGTGAGAAAATCCAGATTTTTAGCTTCACATATCTATGAATTTCAAATTTGGGAAAACTGCAGCTTTTGAGATTTTAGTTTCCCCTTTTCCTTTTATAATTAACAGCAACCAAATGCTAAGTGTCTGCTGACTCCTAGCTGAGAGAAAACAAAGCCCTATAGAGATTCTGTGTGAAAAGAAAGCCAGTTGTGCTGGCCTAGGGCCAGGCTGCACCTCTTTGATATGGCCTCTTCAATCTGAACTCTCCATGGGCAGCAGTTGCAAACCACTCCCAGTGGCTTTAGCAGTAAGCACTGGGAGTGCTAATGAAACCAGCTAATGGAACAAGGGCTGTTAGCCTGGGTTCGAGCTCAGTGAGGCTTCCTTGGAACCTTTTATGATACTTCACTTTCAGCGTCCTTTGGGAAGAATAGTTTATACTCTGAACCAATAATGGACCAGGGACCATTTTCTTTTATATAGTAGTGGAAATGCCTTTGGCACTCTGGTATTAAATAACTGCTTATTTTGAACATATTGTGCAATGACTTAGCCTTTTCCACCCAGTAATGGTTCCCACTGAAGCTATTATACTCAGTTTAACTTTTCCAGGAGGGACTGTGAAAGGAAATTGAAATCTCACAGATTACACTTGCTTTTTATTATATTCATTGCTAATGCAGTTGTCTTATATTTTGGTTTTTGTGTTTCCCACTCTGTACCCCATACCCCACCCTACCCCCTGCTTTCAGGTGAAGGTCTCCCACAGGTATATTATTTTGGACCATGTGGAAAGTACAATGCCATGGTGCTGGAGCTCCTTGGCCCTAGCTTGGAGGATTTATTTGACCTCTGTGACCGAACGTTTACTTTGAAGACGGTGTTAATGATAGCCATCCAGTTGGTGAGTTGATGTGCTATTCCAGAAGATAAATAGATCCCTTACCCATATCCTTATGGGCCTTTAGCTGATGTGACATCCGAATTAGTTTTTACAGCTTTAATAGCCTGCTAGAAGAATCTAGCAGACTTCTGAAAGGAACTATTATTAGCTTGATTTCTGTGTATAATTTGGCCACAAAGACTCTTGGCCAGTATGTAATATGCCAAACAACTAAGGTAAGTTCTTGGTCACATAACTTAGAGGGTTACAAAAGTGTTAACTGAGAGAAGTCACAATGCATCTGCAGTTTGCTCTATTTTAAGAATTTGCACCTTGAAGCAGAACCTTTTCTGTAACTGAAGTGGAGGAATATAATTTACATTAGGGAGAAAGAGGACGAATAGGTGGAGTTGTGCACATTCAAGTAATTGCTTCAGCATTTTATTTATAGGTCTTAGGCACATAGCTGTAAGGTTTTATCATGCCCTCCTTCTCTCACTGTTGAAAACTAGAAACAATTGAAGGTACTACCCCCTGCACTAACATTCATTCAGAAGTCACCTTGTAACTGAGATGTTTAATTCTCTGGCATCTTACATAATACTTTGGGGCTGGCCAAGAAGCTTTGCAGCCAAATTACATACTAGTTCCAGTTTAAGCAATTAGAACAGTCTCTTTGAGATGTTTTTTAGACCTTCAAGGGAAGAATTCAAATGTTGGATAGTTTTCGTTTTGTTTTGTTGAGATGTTCTCACCAGCTTAGACTGGCTTTGAACTTTAGATCTTCTTGCTTCGGCCTCCTGCCTATTAAAGTGGATGTGTACCACCACTCCAGCCTTAAGGTATATCTTAATTCATTTGAAGTAGTGATGGTCTCACCATTATCCAAAAGCAATTTGGAAACACTTCAAATTCAAAATACTTAAGTCTCCCTTTCTACGCTAAGTAGAAATACTTTATAGATAGAAATATCTAATTAAATTTGAGACAGTGTTAAAGTTACTTATTTCAAGCTCTGGTCACCATATAGCGTAAAGACTGTGCATCCTCCTTCTGCTGCCAGCCGGCTAGCTGATGTCAGGCTCGCATTAATTTCACTAAGCCTCTGTTTTCTTATTTCCTCAATACCGAAATTGGGGTTAAAGAATCCTGAGCAACTGAAGACAGAAAGTGTGGACAGGAGGTGAAGTGGTAACTGCTCCTGTCCCAGAGGGCAGGTTTGCAAGTTACAGTGTGTAAAGTAAAGTATTACCAATTTAGCCAAATTCTACTGTCTCCTTTTTCCCCTAATCTGAATAGTTGTTACATATTTGTAACAAAAAGTACTAGGGGTGGGGTATGCTGGAGATAGCAGTTAAGAGCAGTTACTGCTCTTGCACAAAACCTGAATTTGGTTCCCAGCACCCACATTAGACTGCTAACACTGCCTGTAACTCCAGTTCCAGGGAATATGACAGCCTCTGGCCCTGTGGGCACATGCATACAACTGGGGCATGTAAACTCGGGAAGGCACATACACATACAAATAAATTTAAAAAAAAACAAAAACCCTAAAATGTAGATAAATAAATAAATAATCTGGCTGCCACATCATGTAAGTAAATAAATAAATAGATTAATTAATCAATCAGTAAATAAGCAAGCGAGCATGATTTTAAGAATAAATATTTTGGGCCAGGCATAGTGGCACATGCCTTTGAACCCAGAAGCAGGAAGAGCTCTGTGAGTTCCAGGACAGCCAGAGCTTGTTTTGTTGTTGTTGTTGTTGTTGTTGTTTTGTTTTGTTTTTTTTTTGTTTTGTTTTTCAAGACAGGGTTTCTCTGTGTAGCTTTGGAGCTGTCCTGGAACTCACTCTGTAGACCAGGCTGACTTCAAGTTCACAAAGATCTGTCTGCCTCTGCCTCCTGAGTGCTGGGATTAAAGGCGTGCGCCACCGCCACCCGGCCAGCCAGAGCTATATAGTGAGAACCTGTCTCAAAAAAAGAAAAAGAAAAAAAAAGGAAGCATTTTGGGTCTATACCTCCCCTTTTGCTTATTTCAAGGCATTTCTATTATTTTTTTTTCTTTCTTTTAGCTTTCTCGAATGGAGTATGTACACTCAAAGAATCTTATTTACCGAGATGTCAAACCAGAGAACTTCTTGATTGGCCGACAAGGCAATAAGAAAGAGCATGTAATACACATAATAGATTTTGGACTGGCCAAGGAATATATTGATCCTGAAACCAAAAAACACATACCTTACAGAGAGCACAAAAGCTTAACTGGAACGGCACGATACATGTCTATCAACACGCATCTGGGCAAAGGTGTGTTTAGAGGGGCAGGTCATGTGAACAACTTTCTTTTTCAATAGCACTTTTTGGTGCAATACATTGTGCATTACAACTTGTACCATTTGTTGCATCACAAGGTAAGTGACTTTTTGTACTTAAGAGTAGTGAAATGGTAAGTAAGTGATGTTCCCAAATACCTTAATACTGATGGAGACTTAATTCTTTCAACTGTGTTTTCTTTTCTTTTTTTTTCTTTCTTTTTAAGATTACTTATTATGCACACAGTGTTCTGCTGGAGTATATGCCAGCAGGCCAGAAGAGGGTGCCAGATCTCATCATAGATGGTTGTGAGCCACCATGTGGTTGCTGGGAATTGAACTCAGGACCTCTGGAAGAACAACCAGTGTTCTTAACCTCTGAGCCATCTCTTCAGCCCTTAACTGTGTTTTCTGATGCTTCATTCCTCAGTAGTTTAAGAACTTGAATTACTGCAAAATTATAGTAGTGTTTGAGTGGGTTTAATAATGAGACTTGTATTTACACATGTGTAATTCTGTATATGAGCAGACAAAAGGAGAACATCAGGCTTGTGTCTGTGTTAGTGAAGTATGGATTAGGAGACTGAAGAGATGAGTCAGCAGTTAAGAGCCCTGGCTGCTCTTACAGAGGATTAGATTTAGTTCCCAGCACTCACATGGAAGCTCATAACCATCTGTAACTCTGGTTCTGGAGATCTGGTACTCTGTTCTGACCTCTTTGGCACCAGGAACACACATGATACAGACATACATTCAGGCAAAATGTGACTTGGATAGAATGTTTAGCCCAGTGGGTCATTCCATGTGGTGGTTATCTTTTATTATTCTACACGGTGTTTTGAACATCTACCCTGTATGATACTAAGGTACTTCATCATCTTGATGTGCTGCCATTGCCACTAGAATTATCTCCAGAGTGGGGTTTCATGAGGTCTAAGTGTTCTTCAGGTCAAATCTAACCTACCATAACATTTTGTTTTTCCGCTCCATTTTGTAAAGAATTTTTCTCTCGCCAGGGCAGTGGTAGCACACACCTTTAATCCCAGCACTCAGGAAGCAGAGCCAGGTGGATCTCTGTGAGTTTGAGGCCAGCCTGGTCTACAGAGAGAGAGATTCAGGACAGGCACCAAAACTACACAGAGAAACCCTGTCTCAAAAAA